GGTGTATACATGTTTGGTTGCTTCCCTTGGAAAACGGGGGAGAAGTATACACCACACCACCCCGACGTCGTCCCCGAACCTCAAAAAAGTCCTGGGATTGAAACAACATCCGCCACTTGTAACGTAGATGGTCCAGTTTCCGACATTCCTGTATCCGTTCACACAGCCACCGTCCTGTATACGGTGGCGACGGTGGGTTCACGCTCGCAGGCCTGCACGGTGCGAAACTCAGGCACGAATAGGAGGAGGATGGACGGCGGGTGAGGAAATCACGAGTGCCTGTCAGTGGCCAACGCCTGCACTCGAAACCGCGGGCCCCGCCGAAATCCAACGAACAGGGCGGCCACAGTGAGCTCACAACACAAGCAGCCGGTACAGGTGTCGTTCACTGGTATGCCCGAAACGCGGGGGGGGTGGGGGAAACGGGAGGGGAAGAGAAGGGAAGGACTAGTAGCCTTGGTAATTCATAGCGCCGTGCTCGGCCAAGAGAGTTGTGAGCAGCACCGTCCGTACGCTGTTCGATGACGCGCGCTGGCGGGACGGGAGGCGGAGGACATATCCCACAAACACGAGCGACGCCCCTGCGAAGAGCGTTCCTGCATAGCTGGAGGGCGACCGGGACGCACCAATCTTTGTCACGGCAGGGAAGGCTGAGGGATAGGGCGACGGAGACGAATGGTGGAGCGACAGAGCACATGTGCCAACACATGTCGCGCGAGAAGATAGCCGGCGATCAACACCTGCCGCGTTCGGACGAGACCGACGCGATGCTTTAAACGCTGCTGGATAACATAACCATGTGTTCTGAGGCCCACGGCGTCGCCGACACCGCTAAGAATCGTCTCTGGCGCGAGTCGGAAATCGGGAAATCGGAAACTGCTCAACGACGCACGCCTCCGAACGCGGGCTCATATCTCGTTCCCTGACTCCGGATCCGCCCTACTTTTGGGAAATTCGTAAGTAAGGCTTGGAATTTCCGCCTTACTTTTCAAGCCCCGCTGATGCTAATTTCCGCCCTACTTTTCTGTTGCTGTTTTTGTGGATTTCCGCCCTATTTTATGTTGGGTGCAACAATTTCCGCCCTACTTTTTCGGCCTCTTCTAGGTGGATTTCCGACGCAATTTTAGGTTAGAAAAAAAGCCAAAGTAGGGCGGATCCGGAGTCAGGGCTCCCGGCCTCTCCCCCTCCCTGCTCTTCATCCCAAGCCTCGCACTCGTACATCCCCTGCTCGACCCCCCCCCCTTCTTCAGCCCCCTCCATGCCCCGCGAAGGACCTCCTCGCTCACTGCAGAAACAGGAAGCGAGAAGGGAAGCGGAGGATGGTGAAGAGAAAGGAAGACGAAGAAATGATGATGATGATGATGATGATGATGATGATGATGATGATGATGATGATGATGATGATGCTGATCCACGCATCCAAGAAGGTCTGGAGCTCCCCGCTCGATACAGCCTCCCGAAGCCATGGCCTTTCCCTCTGGCGCTGCGGACGCAAGGCCTGACCCGTGCCCAAGGCACACTCGCAGATCGCCTGAAAGCCTTGAGGCCGCCGACCGCCCCAGCCAAAGGCAGGCGGTCAGCAAAGCATCCGAGCCCTCACGGCGACTCAGCTCGCAGACAGCTCGGCGCGCCACACCAGAGCAACAGTCCCCTAGGCACCAGGCCTCAGACGGGGACGACTTGCTCTGAGGTGGCTTTCGGAGGCGATCCTGACGGTCGGCCACAGCCTACCACCACGGTTCGGCCTCCGCCTGGCGCGGCACAGAGCACAGAGCGGGCTGGAGCGCAGCAAGCTGCGCGGGCTGCCGCGCCCAAGGCGCGCCAGCGGCTACATTAAACGGAGGCGCCGAAGGCGCTCGGAGCGGCTGACCATCAGACGGCCGTGCAAGAACGCCAGGGCCCGCCGACGCGTCGCTGCGGCTGCTCTGCAGCGAGCCGGCGGACGGCGCCGAGCGTAAGACGCTGCCCAAGAGGGGCGGGAGGGAGTGAACCCTGGCGTGTGCCGAGCCCCACGGGGTACAGCCTACGCCACGGGGTCCCTCCCCCCCAGAGGCAGCAGCTCGGCGCAGGCATTCGTGATCCTTGGACCCGCCTGCGACACGAGCAGATCCCGTGAAGGCACCAAGGCCCCCCAGCGGGCGGGCGCACGTGCGCCTAGCTACCTTGGTCGCTCCATCAGTGCGCCATGCACCCCAGCGCTCAGAGCTGAGTGCACGGCCTACCGAGGGCGCCAGCAGAGAGAGAACCCAGCGAGTGCGAAGCCTTCGCGACGGGTCCCCCTCGGCACGAGAGTGAAGCGCCGCCGACCGACGCGGCCGTGTCGAGCGCCAAATTATTGATAAAGAGCGGCAACAACTGGCAAGCAAATTGCCTCATCGGGCATCTGAGCGTCTAAGGCCTGGGGCGCCTCGAGTGGGACCCCGAGGAGGAAGCTGGCCGCTGCGAGGGCCAACCGCGAGGCGGCCGCCGCCTCCAGAAGCTCGCCTGCAGACAAGAAGCCTGTGTCGATGCCATCGCCGCTGTAGGGAACGGATCGGCCGCCGACGTCGCCGAACCCGTCGCCGTTAGTTCCTGCAGGGGCAGTGGTGTCGCCCGCAGCAGCTGGGCCAGCGCCTCGGGGGACTCTGAGCCTCCCCCCCGCTGCGCAGTGCTGCTGGATGATCGCCTGCAGGTCGTCCAACTCGATATCGTCCACGTGGACTCCTGGCGCCGCGGCGCCCTCGGGAACCACATCCACCGTGTCGCCCTCGAGCTCATCGGGAACGGGGGTCGCAGCCGCCCACTTCAGCTCGTCGGCGATGCGCCTCATGTCGGTGGGATCCCTGCCGTCCCACAGCCAAGTGAGAGCCCTGAAACCGATCGGGCAGTCGGTGAGAGCAGGCAGGGGAGGCAAGGCCCTGAGGCCCACAGTCCCATCGAGGAGGACATCGGAAGTATCGAACCCGTCGGAGAACTCGCAATCATCACCTCGATCCTCCACCACGAGGGACGAGAGCGAGCCATCGGATGCGTCGTCGTTGTGCTCGCCCGCGGCCGCTGGCGCATCCGAGCTCATCGCGATGTACGCCTGCAGCTGCTCCCTGAGCGTGGCGAGCTGGTCCCGCAGCGCATGCTCCGCAGCAGCCCAGCCTTCCCGTAGGGAGCGGATGTCCTGAGCCTGCTTCGCGACCAGAGCCCTGTACTGGGTGCGGTTCGACGCGGGATGGTGCAACTCCCCCCTCAGCATGTCCAGCTGGTAGTCGGAGCCGAAACCGCGGCCCAGGTCCACGTCGGCGTTCGCGTCCCTGTGCAGCCTTGCGCCCTCCAGCTGCTGCAGGAGCGCCGCGTCCCGCAGATCCGATTCCAGCGCCTCCGCGAGCCGACAGGGGCTGCTCTCGACGGTCCAGGCGACCCCAGTTGAGGCCTGGCACAACCGCAGCCTGTCGGGCAGGGATAGCATGCCAACGATCCGTACCTGGAGCACCTCGGGCAGCGGGGCAAACAGGGCAGCGGCAGGCTTGAGCGCGGGCCGCTGTGCCGCCTCAAGCCGCTGGCGCAAGACCCGCCGCAGGCGATCGAGGTGATCCTCGCCCCCCGGAGCTCCGTCTGGACGCTGCCGTCCACTGCCACGGCGACGACCTGGTTCGCGAAGCTCACGATGGGGGGGCGCCGCCATCCATCAGTGGCGGCAGCGCCGCCCAGCACTGGGCAGTCCATGGCACCGGGAGCCTGGCAGTGCTCGGCAGTCCATGGCACTGGGCAGTCCATGATGATGATGATGATGATGATGATGATGATGATGATGATGATGATGATGATGATGATGATGATGATGATGATGATGATGATGATGATGAAAGAAGGGAAGACGAAGGAAGGACGACGAAGAAATGAAGATGAAGAAAGAAGGAAAGCGGAGGATGATGATTGATGGGAGGAATAGGAAGAAGAGAAGGACAAAGACGACGACGAGCACGACGACGACGACGACGACAGCGGCGACGGCGACGACGAAGACTGCGGGTCGTCGCCTCTTCCTGCTTCTCCTCCACCTCCTCCTCGTCCTCCTCCTGCATGCTTCTCCCTCCTCGTCATTCGACGACGACGACGACGATGACGACGACGACGACGACGACGACGACGGCCCCGACCCTCACGACAACCCCGCTGGCGACCCTCGAAATCTACATGAATTCGACCACGACGACGGAAAAGACGGCGACGGTGAGGGCAATGCAGTCGACGACCCTCGAACACGATTGACGACGGCAACGCTGATGAAGGACGGCGACGACGAACGACGGCGACGACGACGACGACGACAACGACAGACGACAGATGACAGCGACAGACGACAGCCTACGACAAGAACCCCGCCGTCGACACCCTCGACGGCGACCCTCGGCGACAACGGCCGCGGGATCGCTGGCGGCGGCGACAGACTGCGGCGGAGGCGTCCTGCAGGACCCCGACGGCCACCTCCACGTCCCCCAGGTCCTCGGGCAGATCGTGCACGACCACCGCCGGCCTGCGTGCAGAACCCTCCCAGATGGGAACGGTGCAGATGGGTCGGAGGATCGCGCCGCATCGCCGATGCCTTGGCGACGCCGGCGCGGAAAACATCGGGCTCCACATCGAGGCGCATCGCCGATGTATCAAAGATACGGCGCAATCCTCCGACCCCACCTGCTCCGACCCCATCGAGGAGGCCTAGAGGAGGACGAGGAGGAGGAGGAGGAGGAGAAGGAAGAGCAGGAGGAGGAGGAGGAAAAGCAGGAGGAGGAGGAGGATAACGAGGAATACGAGGAGGAAGAGGAGGATGAAGAGGAGGAGGAGGAGGAGGAGGAGGAGGAGGAGCAGGAGGAGGAGGAGGATAACGAGGAATACGAGGAGGAGGAGGAGGAGGAGGAGGAGGAGGAGGAGCTGGGGTCGACCTCAAGAGTGCTTGCCGTTTTCGTGCTGCCTTCGCTCTCCCTCGTGTTGTCTTCGGTGCGCCCTTGCTGCAGGGCGAAGCCGAAACGAAAACAGCCAACGGCATCGCCTGAACGCCGTGTAGGTCGATCCCTGTGCTGGCCCAGATCGCGGCGCGCGAACAGCGATCATCTCCGCGCCCCCACCAGTGACCTGGGGAACTTTTGTTTTTCCGCCCGCGCTTCACTGCCCATTATCCGGCGAGCAGAAACTTGGAGGGCTCTCCACCTGTACGTGAGCCAGCTTGGGGTGCTTACCTTTGAAACTCTCTCTCCATGCCGCGGCGGTGGCCTGGGGAACAGAGGACCAGAGGGAGCACGAGGAGCAGCAGCAGCAGAGGGGGACGAGGCCGACGTCTCGAGTCCCACGGCGGCCCTGCGATCACGCGCTGCACGAGGGCAGCGAAGCGAGCGCTCCGTTCCGTACCCTGGCTGGTGGCGCAGCGCACCCGCGAAGCCGGTGGGAGGCGGGGCAGGAGGAGAAGGAGCGGGAGGGGCAGGCGAGGTGGATCAGGAGGAGGAAAGGATAGATCTCCCCGCTCGGCCCCTCACCGTCTGCTCCGCCCGCACCACGCACACACACACCCCACGCCTCCAGATCCGCTAAAAAAATCCAGGGGCACGTCTCTCGGCGATCTCTGAGCTTCCTCGGGTGCCTTCTGGCTTCTGCGTGTCCCCATGGCCATCGGGGGATAAGAAATCCCAGCAGCCCTTTGGGGTGAGGTGGTCTAACGATATCTTTCTTGCCTCTTCCAAAAACCTCTTCCCTTCCAGGAGGCTTACCCCCACTCCCAGAGGATTTGTTCTGGAGGGGGGGGGGGGCGCGATCGGTCAGAGCGGCAAAGATGGCCAACGATGGCTCCAAGAGGGCGTCCGATGCTCAAAGATGGCCTCCGAGGTGGCTCAAGGTAACCGACGGTAACTTAAGATAGTTTCCGACATGCCGCCAAGAGACCCAAGAGGCTAAAATCCTTCGACAAGCTAAGGAACTTCCAGATGCGTTTTTGAGGCATCCAGATGGCCCCAAGATGGCCCCAAGAGAAGCCCAACAGGGGCCGAAGAGGCCCCCGAGACGGCCCCAAGAGCGCCCCAACCGCGCCCCAATAGGGCCCCAAGCGGCGATGTTGATTGCTTCAGGGGGAGTACCAAACATTATTCTCACCGACGCCTTCTACGATAGCCCCAACAGGCCCTCCAGGGCACCTAGCAGGCCCCCAAGAGAGCCCTAAAAGGGCTCCAAGAGGGCCCCAAGACCCACCAATAGAGCCCGAAGAGGACCCGAATATCCCCCCAAAAAAATCCAAAGATGGCTCCAAGAGGCGAGTTTGAGGACTCTGTCCTCGTCCTCGTTGTCCTCCTCCTCCCCCTCCTCCCCCTCCTCCTCCTCCTCCTCCTCCTCCTCCTCCTCCTCCTCATCATCATCCGCGTCCTCGTCCTTGCCCTCATCGTCTTCCTTTTCCTTTTCCTCTTCCTCGTCGTCATGGTCGTGATCGTCGTCGTCGTCTTCTTCCTCTTCCTCCTACTCCTCCTCCTTCCCTCCCAAGGGATGCCCCGAAGAGGCCCTCCAATGCCACCCCCTCGATCCCAGAGATCTCTCTGTTCACTCCGGTGGCCTGCTTTGTTTCACTACATGTGTCTCTTCGTTCCTTTTCCCATCAACTCTCATGGACAGGGTTTCCGAATTGGCTGGTGGGGAGGAGGAAGAGGAGGTGGAGGAGGAGGAGGAGGAGGAGGAGGAGGAGGAGGAGGAAGAGGAGGAGGAGGAGGAGGAGGGGGAAGAGGTGGAGGAGGAGGAGGAGGAGGAGGAGGAAAGTTGCAGACCGGCTTCTTCTTCGACGTGCCAACTGTAATGGCAAGGAGCGGCGCAATACTAACGCCAGTGGTCGGGGGGCAGAGGGGGGTCTTCGGGCTGGTGCGGTGGCGCCGCTTCTCGGCGTCTTCCGACCCGAGACACCTCCAGTTTCCAGATCGGGGGGGGGCATCGTAGTCCTTCTCGTGCCGACGTTATAGAAGCCTCCTGGATGGGGTCGGTGTAGACGGGGTCGGGGGATCGCGCCACATCGCCGATACATCCCAGATGCATCGGCGATGCATTGGCGATGCATCGTCGATGTCGGCGGTGCATCGGCGACGTCGACGTGAAACAAATCGGGCTCCGCATCGGGCCGCATCGGCGACGCGGCGCGATCCTCCGACCCCTTCTACTCCGACCCCATCTAGGAGGCCTGGGGACGTGGCCCTGCCCGTGCTGGTGCCGTTTCTCCGCCCCCCGAAGCCCTCTCGCCCCCCGGTCGTCCACGCCTCACGACGCGGCAGGTCGGAGCCAGAACGCTGCATCCTGTGCGCATGAGGCCCGCGAGGGCACTCCGTAGAGGCCTCCTGGATGGTGTCGGAGCAGCTGTGGTCGAAGGATCGCGCTGCATCGGCGCTGCATCGGCGATGCCCGCGATGCATTGGCGCCGACGGCGAGGCGAAAGTCGGGCTCCGCATCGAGCCACATCGGCGATGCATCGGCGATGCGGCGCGATCCTCCGACCCCATCTGCTCCGACCCCATTTGGGAGGCCTTGAAAAAAACACACCACGGACTCACTCCAAGACGCGCGCGGGGCCCCCGCAAGGCCCTGGCCAGCAATCACGCTCAGAGCTTGAAGGCCAACCTACGCACAACATCCCATTCGGCACATGGGAAAGCAGGCCACCATCTGGTCACACGTCAGCGGGAAAGTGGAGAACCCCAAGGGGATGATGGTGCAGTTTTGTCTGCCCCGCAGCCCGTGGGGAAGAAGGGGAAGAGGGGGACAAAGCGGAGGAGTAGGAGGGGGATGGGCAGGAGGAGGAGGGGGAAGGGGAGGAGGTGGAGGATGATATACTGTCATATGGCCAGCACGGGACACGCTTGGGGCCGTCTCGTTGGAGCGACGCGATGCCAGCAGTCCGCGGCATATGGAAATGTTGATCGTGCCTTCTGGCGGAGGTACCACCCGCATCCCAACATCCACCCTTCCCCATCCCAGACAAGTCGAGAACCACGTGATGAGAATGCGAACATCTTTCCCGATCGCGCAAGCATGGTTTCTCGTGTTGTGGTGGCCATCGCTCTCGAGGGACAATCAGTGACCTTATGCAAAGCCGGCCGCAGCAGAGGTCACAGCGTCATGGAGACCCGCGACTGCCACCAGGACCCTTCAAGCGTCGCACCCCTCCGCCCCCCTCGGCGCCAGGGCGAACATCTGGCAGGTTCAGCTTTCCCACGCCCAACTCAACGACGACGAAGACGACATCGAGGAGCGAGGAGGGGTCCACCCCGTAGACTCTGCTGGCTCCTCGAGTCCCCCGAGGCCCCCATCCACCTCGGCGAGGTGGCCCGCTGTGCGGTGCGTCATGTCTGATCGGGGGGGCTCGAAGGCATCGCTGTCAAACCATACTGCTTGTCGTTTGGCAGTGGAGCTGCAGTCTAGCTGCCATCGGCTGACTGTCCCGCGGATGGAAGAGACACGATGCAGCGCTGGCCTCCGTCCCTGCAAACGTTGCACTCCAGTTCGACATGACGACAGGGCGTGGGCAACAACCAGACGAGGATGAAAAAGAAACCGAAGATGGGGAGAGCAAGAGAAACTGCACCAGGCTGGGATACCCCGAACATCGATCGTTGGTCGACAAGACCTCGAATCTCGGAGCATCGGTCCTCGCTCCCGGAGGCTCGTGCCATCACTTCAGCACACACGCCCCCCACGCGCTGTGTCCCCATGGGGCGCTCCAATGTATGGCCCCAATGGGCTAGGACTCACGCGGCCCCCCCGCCAGTTTCTGCACACGGGTCACGCGTGTCATGGCCCGAGGGAAGCCCTACTCTGATCTGAAGTCGGGCATGTCCCCCTACGGGCGGATTCCGGACGAATAAAACAAGTGTCAAATTATCCCAGAGCGACCCTACCTAGGAGTTGGAGCCCCTCGAGGCTAGCTCGGCACCTGTCGCGCATTGCTTGTGCTTTGCCTTTCATGTGCTTTGCTTTTGCTTTTGCTTTGCTTTGCGTTGCTTTGCGTTGCTCGGGCTTTGCGTTGCTGCTGCTGCTGTTGCTTGTCATTTGCTTCGATGCTATGCTATACTGTGTTATGCTATGATATGCTATGTTATGCTGCGCTATGCTATGCTATGCTATGATATGCGATGCTATACAATGCTATGCTAGGGTATGCTAGGCTGCGCTATGGCATGCTATGCTATGCTATGCTATGATATGCTGCGCTATGAGATGCGATGCTAAGCTATGCTGCGCTATGCTATGGTATGCTATGCTGCGCTATGCTAAGCTATGCTATGACGTGTTATGATATGATATGCTATGCTATGATATGATATGCTATGTTATGCTGCGCCATGCTATACTATGATATGCTATGTTGCGCTATGCTGCGCGATGCTGAGCTATGCTGCGCTATGCTATCATATGCTATGCTATGCTATGCTAGGGTATGCTAGGCTGCGCTATGGTATGCTAGGCTATGCTATGCTATGATATGCTGCGCTATGCTATGCAATGCTAAACTATGCTGCGCTATGCTATGCTATGTTATGCTGCGCTATGCTATGCTATGCTAGGCTACGCTATGAGATGCTATGATGTGCTATGCTATGCTGCGCTATGCTGCGCTATGCTATTATATGATATGGTGTGCGATGCTATGCTGCGCTATGCTATGCTGCGCTATGCTATGCTATACTATGCTATGCTATGATGTGCTATGCTATGCCATGTTATGCTATGATAATGCTGCGCTACGCTTCGCTAAGCTAAGCTGGGCTAAGCTAAGCTAAGCTAAGCTAAGCTAGGCTAGGCTAAGCTAAGCTAAGCTAAGCTAGGCTAGGCTAAGCTAAGCTAAGCTAAGCTAGGCTAGGCTAGGCTAGGCTCAGCTAAGCAAAGCTAAGCTAAGATGAGATAAGAAACGCTAAGCTAAGGGGGCGCAGCTGGGGGAACCGCGGGGCGGATCCTGGGGGAACCGCCCGGGGCGGGACCCACTGCCCGGCCCCTTTGAGCTAATAGAGTAAGAACCCTCTAGGCAGAGCCTAGGTAGGGAATGATACACCCAGAATGGTCGAAAGTATTAGAAAAATCGTCCCCACACTACTTTTTGACTATTTTGGAATCTTCCTCCTGTAGATGGACAGGCCCGGCTTAACTCTAAGCCCAAAGGGCGGTGACCGCAGGCTGCCCCGACCATTCTGGCACACTCATCACATGGTGCGTGGCCTGGGGGGGAGCTCCACCCACCGAAGGCTCCAATGGGTGTGTTCACATGCTGCCCCCCTGCCCCTGTCGGCACACCCATCACACGCTTCGTGGCCCCGCAGGGAGCTCCACCGAAGGCTCCAGTGGGTGCGTTCACATGTGGTCTTCCCGCCCATGTCAGCAAGCCCCTCACACGCTTCATGGTCCCACCAGGAGCTCCACCGAAGGCCCCGTCAGCTAGGCTGGATGGGAGCCGTCGCAGAGGCCTGGATAGACGCGCTGAGGTAATGCTTTGCTGGTGCCACTCTGTCCTTATATGTCCTCAGCAGCACCTGCCAATATCTGAGGCAAAGCTGGTCTGAGTCAGGAGGCGATTGCATTTCTCAAGCCCACATGTTGCACTTCTTCTCCAATTCACCTATTAGATTGTTAGCTGCTGATTCGAGTTGATCTCAACAGCGGCCGGAGAAGGTTCGCCCCGCATCTTCAAAAGTGTGTGTGTGTGTGCGTGTGTGTGTATGTGCGGTGTGTGTGTGTGCGTGCGTGCGTGCGTGCGTGCGTGCGTGCGTGCGTGCGTGCGCGCGCGTGCGTGAGTGCGTGCGTGCGTGCGTGCGTGCGTGCGTGCGTGCGTGCGTGCGCGCGTGTGTGTCTGTGTGTGTAAGTGTGTGTGTGTGTGTGTTTGTGTGAGTGCGGGTGCGGGTGCGGGTGCGTGTGTGTGTGTGTGTGTGTGTGTGCGCACGCGTGCTTGTGTGTGTGCTTGTGTGTATGCATTTGCCTCCAAATGTGGTCCCCCCCGCCCATTTCGGCATTCCCCTCACACGTTCCGTGGCCCTCGTGGCTCCGCGGGCAGCTCCACCGCAGGCCTCAACGGCAGCTTTTCGCATGCCCCCATCCCCCCGCCCGTGCTGGCACACCCCTCACGTACTTCGTAGCGCCACATCCTTCGCTACTCGCAGCTGCTTTGGGTTGGGTCCTTCGCCAGCCTCTTTAGTTGACGGCCCCTAGGATCAAGGGATAGAGCCCGAGAACAGCGAAACAAATCCAGGACCTAGTTCCCTCAGGACCTCTTTTCTTCATCAGGAACATCGAATCCTCGGATCATCGGGCCTCCTGCACAGACGTCCACGGTGATACCCACATCTAAAACAACCCGAACCGATAGCGAAGTCGAATCCGACCGAATCCGATGGACTGAAAGCGGTCACGAAAGGACGCAGCGTCGCAGCAACCGACCGAACAGAGCCGACCGAATGCGGCCAACTGCGAAGCAGACGAGCCGACCGGACCGCGGACACCCATTATCATGCGGGGGAACGATAGCGGGGACTGGCTCAGGGAGCAACAGCGAGCCATCATCGGCGATACGTCGCCGACAGATCGGCGATAGGCCTCCGATTGCGAAACCGCATGTTCCCGGGCGGGGTGGGCTGTCGGTCCACCATCGGCGATGAGTGGGCGATTGGGGGTCGGTGCGTCCCCCCCTGAACCTATCCCCCTCGGTGATCCTCGTCGCCTGGTTTTCGGGTCATACCTCGGTTCTCAGGCAGCCGTTAAGGACGATAATTACGGGCACCCCTGGGAGCCCCTCGGCGAGGCGCAGCCGCTGGAACGCACCGCGAAGCTGGAAAGCCGCCGAGAGCTGAAGAGAACGTCCACCCACCCACCCTTCACGTTGCCCCCCGATTCGGCGGCGCCCACACGGGGATGTCACGAGGGTGGTCGGCTTCTAAGACGGCGGCGGCGCTTCTCAGACGGCAGGGGCCTTCCGAGAAGGGCCTGGCGGATTCCGAGAAGCCTCCCTCGAGGCCTCCGGGGCCCTCTGCGCAGGCCCATGCCTTCTAAGAAGCCCCGGCGCCTTGCTGTAAGCCCCGGCGCCTTTCCGGCAGCGCCCTGCTTCTAAGAAGCCCCCGCCCCCCTCGCACCATCCCACTGTGGACCGGGGCGCGCAGGACGCGGGGCCTCCAGCGACCCGGTGAGAGCGCCGAGCCGAGGCTGTGCGGGGAGATCTCGGCGTCCTGCGCGCCCCCCACGCGGCAGTCGCGGCGCTCGGAACCCCGTCGAGGCAGTGACGACGACGACCACGACGACGACGACGACGACGACGACGACAACGACTACGACGACGACAACGACTACGACGACGACGACGACGACGACGACGACGACGACGACGACGACGACGACGACGACGACGACGACGACGACGACTGCGACGACGACGACGACGACGACGACGGCGACGACGACGGCGGCGGCGGCGGCGGCGGCGCCGACGACGGCGGCGGCGGCGGCGACGGCGGCGACGGCGAGGACGACGAAGGCGGCGGCAGCGTCGTCACCTCCGCCGCCGCCGTCATCGTCCTCGCCCGTTGTCTTCGGCGGCGGCAGCGCCGTCGAGGTCGTCGTCGTCGAGGTGGTCGTGCCGAAGACTTTGTGGTGCCTCCGGGGGGCTCTCTCGTCGCCATGGCCAGAGACGCGGCCGCCCCCCCTCGCTGGTGGACTGAGGGGGGGCACGCCGCAGCCAGATCGAGAGGCCTCGGGTAGGGGGGGAGCGAGGATCGAGGATCGATCGAGGCGGGAGGAGCATCGAGGGCGAGGAGGCAGGATGGGCAGAGGGAGGGGGGAGGAGCCCAGGCATCCAGCGGCTCGGAACGAGCGCAAGAACGTGTGTGTGTGTGTGTGTGTGTGTGTGTGTGTGTGTGTGTGTGTGTGTGTGTGTGTGTGTGTGTGTGTGTGTGTGTGTGTGTGTGTGTGTGTGTCTGTGTCGCCATGTTCGGCGTCCGTGGAAGCCGTGCTCGGGCTCCAGGGTCGTCCAGCATGCCCTGGGAGCGGGGCCGGACCCGGGAAGGGCGACGAGAGGCCAGAGGGCCACGCGAGCACGAGGGCTCGGGCTTCCCGGGGGGTCGGCAGGCAGAGGGCTCGAGGAGCCAGGGGGGGTCCAGGGTATGTGATCTGTGCGCGGTGGTCTTCCAGAACGGAAGAAGAGGAGCGAGGATGCAGGACGGGGAGGAGGAGAGAGAACTGAGAGGAGGGCGACGAGGATCGAGGGTACGTTTTCTTATGCTTGTGGACGAGGTGGGGAGGGGCGATTCACATCAGAATCATCTGTGGCTCCAGACCACCAGGGCTCTTGGAACGAGGGTCCAACGTCGTGCGAGGTGCCAGCTGTTGATTGTTACACTGCTGACTGTCCAGATGGGGCCTGTCCCAAACCCACCAGCCCTCTGGGCGTAGTTGGTTGAACTTCGGGGATGGACAGACCCCCCTTTAGTAAAACGTGGTTTAGTGAAAACGACCTGAGGCCCAAACCTGGCGCGCGCAAGCCTGGAAAATAACGGCCACGGCGCCCTCTCGAGAACCGAAAACGGACAATTCACTAATCGACGTGTCACTGTTGGGGGTCTGTCCACCCCCGAGAACTGATTTCGACTTCTTTCTGCCAAAGCTCCCTCCTTCCCCTTCTCGGGGGAGGGGTTTACATTGTTCCCTATCAGTATTCACCTCTCCCTCAGGAGACCGGCAGCCAACCAGGAACAATGACCCCATGATCACGCCCCCCCCCCAAACCATCCTTTTCAAAAAAATAATACGAAACACGCTCCCAAATTCGGAGCAGGCGCAACCAACCCGATGCGGCCCCCCCAATCCTTTTCAACAAACAATGCAAAATACACTTTGGGGCAAAGTCTGGAGTCATGTTCGTGAGGCAGGCCCGGCACTTTGTATTGTTCCAACCATCCTGTTGTGTGGAGTCCTTGTTTTGAACAGACAGCGCCCCGCAATCCTCCTCTCCTCCTCATCATCCCTCTCCTCCCTCCTCCCTCCTCCCATCACCATCACCATCACCATCACCATCACCATCACCATCACCATCACCATCACCATCATCATCGCCATCATCATCATCATCATCATCATCATCATCATCATCATCATCATCATCATCATCATCATCAGCTTCATCATCATCATCACCACCACCAGCATCATCATCACCATCACCACCACCAGCATCAGCATCAGCATCATCATCATCATCATCAGCATCATCATCACAATCGTCACCGTCAGCGCTTCGTGGCCCCATATGGAGCTCCACCTAAGGTCCCAGTGGCGCAGTTCGCATGGCGACCCCGCTCTATTTCGGCACATCCCTCACTCGTTCCGTGGCACCGAAGGCTCCAGTGGCTGCGCCCACATGCGTCCCCGCCCCATTTCGACCCACCCTCTACGCGCTTCGTGGCCTCATAAAGGAGTACACCGAAGGCGAGACCTACAACGGCGATACTCACAGCTGCATAAGTTTGGGCCCTTCGCCAGGATTTGTTTGACCGGAACGGCAGGGGTATTAGCATATTGTCTGCTGTGCGCAGGGCGACCATCACTGACAAAGAACAATACAAAGTACACGTCGCGGCTAATTCTGGACCATGCGCGGCCACCCCGCGATCACTGTCAAGTGGTTTTTGACAGGGGCGGCGGGGGTGGGGGAGTATGGCCTGCTGTGCGCAGGCCCACCAGACACAATGATGGGCATTGGCTTCCGACGAGGATGGTGGGGGCCGACATATTTTCCGATGTGTGATGTCACGTGTGCAGGCGCACCTGACACACTGCACGTGCCCCGAACGTGGCGCACCTGGCGCGGCTGGAGTATGCGGCAAAACTGGCGCACGCGGAGGCACGTGGCGCATCTGGCGCACTGGGGCCTCAGGGGTGCATGGCGCGCGTGGCGCGCCTGGCACGCGTGGCGCACCCCGCCCCAGCGTCGCGCACATGGGCTCGGTACTGGTTCCCAGTAATCTGCCGTCCATCCAAAGACGACCGCTGAACACGCTGAGGCTCGGGTGTTACTTATGTGTTGGGAGGGGGTGAGGGTGAGCTAGACGGCTTGCTATCTAGGAGGGTGCCTTGTTCCCTCCCCCTCCCCCCTCCCGTGGGCCTGGACGGGGCGCCTCGCGAGGGGTTCGAGCGTCCAAGATGGCCCAAGATGGCCCCACGAGGGCCGCTGAGAGCATAAGATGGCATCCAAAGTGGCTCAAGATACCTCAAGGTGGTTCAAGACAGCCTACCACTCACATCTAAGAGGCTTTAAGACGACCCCAAGACGGTTTGTAGTGCCCTCCGAGCCCTCCAGGGAACCCCCCATGAGGCCAACATGGCTCCGACATTTAAGCAACACCTTTGTGTTTTTGCCTTCTCGCCTTTTCGCTTCCGCTGGGCCCTTGAGGTCTCAAGATGGCCCAAGAGCGCCTCAAGAGGGCCTCAAGACGCCATGTGTAAGCCTAAGCCTCCCAGGGGGGGGGGGAGAGGGGAGAGACCTACATTTCCTACCCCCCCCTCTTCTAGAGCCGTGGGGGCCAAGATGGCCCCAAGAGGCCTCCCAGACACCCCCACCAGGCCCCAAGAAGGCCCAAGGAAGGCCCCGAGAGATCCCCACGAGGGCCTCAAGAGTGCCCCAAGAGGCTCCGCGAGGACCAAGACCCCCAAAGAGCCCCAAGATGGCTCCAAGAGACCTCCGAGAAAACGCGTCCAAGGCGGTTGATACACTGCACCCTTCTACACTTCCCTAATCACGGCAACACGCCTGGCGAGCTTCTTCTGGATGCGGTGGCGGAGATACGCGAGGCGTCAAGAATTCGAGGCCTTGGGCCTGACAGTGGGATTCCACCACTACACGGGGGAGGGGGGGGGAGGGACGGTGACGTCCAGGAGATCTGGCCTGACCAAGGAGGTCCTTTGTCAACTCGGCCGCGCAATGGGGGTCATACTCTCAGGCCGCGTCAGGCCGAATTGACCCGCGGAACTCCTTCTGCAGTGTTGAGTCGTTCCCGTGGCCGTGGCATTGGTCAACTCTGATCATCACGAATGCGCCAGGGACGTCCACTATGAATCCGGCCTGGCAGTGTGTTCGTTGCACGTCGTTCGAAGCGTACTGCTGTCGTGACTTGGAAGTGTGTTACAAGGCTGACATTCGGAAACCCACAACTCAAACAACTGGTAGCGCTGCAGACATCCGCAATCACCGGAACCAACACCAACACAACTACAATCACTATCGTCAAAATAGGTGTTACAACCATTCCACTGTACTACAACCACAACCGTGCGAATACTGGCCAGCACAGCACTCAACCCAACTACCAACACATGCATCTACACGAACAATGAAACACATTGCCACATCCTTACCGCGCCTTTCCACGACCTCACCAACACCCCCCTGGAACCCCACCGCCCATAGGATGACCACATGAGGAGCTGGCAATGAAGATTCGAACAGCAATCCCGCTGTCAACTCCCACTGCTGGTGGCACAACATCAGCAACAACACCATCCGCAGAGCCACCAGTGCAACCACAACTACTACCACCGTCAATACCAGCGCCAGTTCCGCAGCACCGCAAGCACCTCGCCCAACTACTCGCACAATGGCCCGCAGAACATTCAGTCAAGCCACCAGTACAATAACCCTCCAGTACAATAACCTCATCATCACTCTGCAAACATCTTAAGCACCTAGAACCACCCCAGCAGGTTCCAATCAGAGCAGCACGAGAACCCCACCAGCACCCCACCAGCACCACACCAACCCCCCACCAGCATCCCAAGCGCTCCACCAGCACCCCACCATCATCGTACCAGCACCCTACCAGTACCCTACCAGCACTCCACCAACACCTCATCAGCATCACACCAGCACCTCACCATCACCCCGACGGCACTCCTTCAGAACATCACAATCACCTCTAATCACCGTCGCTGCTTCCGTGATGACTGTATGGACAGGCCGATGTAGAGCAAACCCAACTAGAGTGTACAAAAGACAACAACACAGTCAAACATAAGTTTCCTGGAGTGGTGGCGTAAACCCAGTGGGTACTTCGAGTCACGATTCGGGGGGTAAAAAGAAATGAAGCACGTAGGAAATGACCAAGCCAGCGCAAACGAAATTACATAGTTAGTACAGCCGGAGCGAGAGAACACTTGTGAGAAGAAGCAGGATCATAATGAA